TAGTAAGTAAGGTTCAATATATCTATGACACAGAGCCTGAACAAATGGTCACATTGAAAATCTATTTTTGATTATTTTTATAGGTATCTGTTTTCCTCTCTCTCTCTCTCTCTCTCTCTCTCTCTCTCTCTCTCTCTCCCTCTCCCTCTCCCTCTCCCTCTTCCTCTCTCCCTCTCTCTCCCTGTTTCTCCCTCTCCCTCTCTCCCCCACTCCCCCTTGTATGTATGTATGTGTGTGTGTGTGTGTAAAACATATCAGCCCTTCTATCAATTTTTAATTCATACAAAAACATGGTGGATTTATATACTCAATCAATTTATTCAAAAAACATTTTTTTGAGGCTCACATTTGCCTAGCTGTGTACTAAGCACTGGAATCCAAAGGAGAATAAAGCCACTGCCCAGACAGAGGGGACTGGCACATAAACAAGGAGGGCAGCCATCAAGTGTCATAAGTGCTGTAGTAAGTGTCAGGTTAAACTAGTGTTTCCAACCTGCAAAACTCATACTCCTGGGATACAGGAACACTTTCCAAAGCGCCGTACACAGGACAGACAAGTGCTAGGAAGCCAATCAGCTTCCAGGCTGACAACCTTTATTTAAGTCTTTCCCAAACCTTGCCTGCAGGAAAACATCCCAGGAGGAAGGATCTTGCCAGGACTCTTCCCACCTCCCTTTTCACAACACCTTTCTCTCCCACTCTATAGAAGAAAAGCATTTTATTATTATTATTTTTTAATCCACTCCAAATTGTCCAGCAAGCTGCATAACCATCAGGGCTAAAGAGATAGACAGATAGTTCAGATTATTGTATCAGTAAAACCTCCTCTAACCGAGTCACCACAAATTCACCATCAGGCGTCATGTCTTTGTCTTATTGCTTTTTCTCTTCCACTCGGGGTGGAGTATGGCATTAGGAACGGGAAGTTTGGTGTACTTGGTGATACCCTTTGTTCAGATTATGTTAATGATGGATGACAAATTCTGTTTGAAGACCTAGCCTCTTCTATCCCCTTGGCTGTGGTCTATGAATCAGCAGGGCTGGAGAGGAGCACGGACAGCAGAAAGCCCTTATTTCATCCAGGTGACAGATTCATGGCATAGCTCCATGCCTGATTGCTCCACATTACAATTAGAGTGTTTGAGGTTTATAAAAAGCATGCCGGGAGTGACAGACATATGAGGTGCGCCCTTGCCATTTTCACTATGAGAAAGCTTCATGGCCTCTCATCCCATCTGTGTCTCTGTTGTATACTTGGCAGCATCTCAAAAAGGAGGGGGAGATAAGTGCTCTATTGACTTCCAGTAGACAAGAGTACGTCTTAGAGCAAAAAACACATATCTGAGAGTAGTTAGTATTTAATATTTTCCTGAACATATATTATACTCACCAGAAAAGCATGCTCGTTAACTTTTTCCGAAAAATTACTGTATTCCAAAATACCTAATTTTCCTGTGGTGCATATCTTTTGCTCATTGTCAATCCTCAACCACACTTCTCATTTTTTCTTATTTACCATGTACTTATTCACAATTTATCTTAAAGGGAGTATGTTTTGGATTCTACTGTACATAATGCACTTAACCATCATGAATAGAATTCAATATATCTGCCTTGATCATGGCCCAAAGCCTTTTTCTTTTTGCTGTTAATTACCTCAAAATAAATTAACCTGTACTCACAAAAGCAGAGCAGCTCCTTATGTTCTGGTGTGAAACAAAATGTTCTCCACAGCAATCTAGGATATAATACACTGGATTTTAGAAAACAAGCCTCATTTAATTAGGATTAATTTCTCCCTCTCAGAAGCTGATAGGTGACTCTGTTTCTATAAAAAGCAAAACCATAGGCTTGTTTCCAAACGTGAAATGAAATTTCTAATCTTCCTATCTAGATTCTTGGGATGTCTGATTCTTTCTCCATCTGTCACTCCATTTTAGGGTACTTTGAGATGACCTAGAGACTTGCAATGCTGAAGTTTCTTCTGTGTACAAAGGAAAATAGGAAGTGCAAATGAGGGCAAGGGAAGGTCAGGAAGAGAGAGATAAAGAAAGAAAGAATCCTGACCAACAGGCAGCTCCAGAGCAGGCAGAGCCCCACAGACAGAGCTCATGAGTTTGCACTTTGAGCCCAGTGGTTTCAAAGTGGGATGTGTGCACCCAGAATGTGGAACAGAGGCCACTGGGGTGTCAGGAGCATTGGTTTTATATATATATATATATATATATATATATATATATATATATATATATATATATTTATATTTATATTTAGTTGTACTTATATTTAACTCACATGGGTTGACATGGGCACCCTCTGTTCAGTTTGTCCGATTGTCACACTGTCACAGACTCTGACAGTGTCTGGGTGGGGGGAAGGGCAGCTCCATGCTCCAAGGGTTCTGGGCAGCCCTGCACTTCCGTCCTCTTTCAGCACATTGTGATTGTGGCTATTTCCCTGAGGCTGATTAAGGAGATTTACAGATTATGTCACTCAGAGTTCATTGATAATCCTTGCAAAAGGGACAACTGGCTTTAAAGGAGTTCTGCAAACAAAACAAACACAAAAAATTAACAGCACTAAACTGGAATAAAGAACATATTAGTGATATAAAAATAAGAAAATAACAACAACAAGGCAGAGCTAATATTTTCCCAATTCTTATTATAAATTCTTCATTATCCATATTCTGAGATTAAAAATATCAATGATTTAGTCAGAACTGACAAACAGTGGGCTACAGGATTTTGGTAGCATCAAGAAGACTGTTTAAAAGTGGTTCATATCTACTGTCATTTGTGATTACTTGGCCCTTGTGTGTATTGGACCTTTAGCTAAAGATGGTACAAGAAAATAACCATAGTTAGGATGATATTTTTAAATGCTAATTATTTCATGTTTACCTCATCTTTTGCATTCCCATTTTTGTGTATGACTTATGTGTTAGGTTATTTTCATAAATAACTAAATAAATATGATAGGCTTGCATGCTGTTTGGTTAATATTACTATATAACCAACCACTCCCAGACTTTGTAGCTAAAACAACACTATATTATTGTCCCTTATGGTCTTTTAGGTTGTCTGGGCTCAGCTGTGTAGTTTTAGCCTGGGGTCTATCATGTGGTTTCAGTCATCTGAAGGCCTCACTGGACTGGATGTTCGAGATAGCCCACTCCTGTGGCTGGCAGTTGATGCTGGATGTTGGCTGGGAGCTTATCTGGGACTGTTGACTAGTGAGCTTCACATGGCCTCTCCGCGGGGCTGGGGCTTCTTACAGCACGGTGGCCAGGTTCCAGGTGGAGGAGTCCCAGGAGCCTTCAAGAGGAAGGAAGCAGAAACTGCCAGGCCAGCTCCAGTGTGCATTTAGAATCGGAGCAGTGTCGCTTCTACATTCCTGCTGTATTCTATCGCTCCAGTCACAGGGCCCACCCAGATTCAAATGGGTGTGGGAAATAAACCCCACCTCACGATGGGGTTGAGCAGGAGAGAATATGCCATGAAAGATAAGGTTGCAGGCATCTTTGGAAAACACAGTCTGAAAATGCAATCTGTCACACATGCTCAAAATGTTCACTGATAGGGGTGCAGAATCATAAACCATTGGAACTGGAGGCAAGATTCCTTACATAACTTGTGGTCAGACTGACTTGATCTCGGGAAATTTAGGCGACTTCTCTAAAAACCTATAAAATAGAAGCTATGGTGTGTGGCGGTGGTGGCTGTGGTGGTGGTGGAGGGGGGCTCTTTTGAGCATTAGATACGAAATGTGTACCCAGAGTGCTCAGAATGTCATAACCGGCTGAACCACTGGCAGATATTCTGGTTTCGAGTTGGAGAGTGACTGGTTTAGAAAAAGCTTTGTAAAGCATGGAGGACATACATATCAGATAGGGGAAGAGGCAGAAGATGAAGAATGGAGCTGAGGGTCCACCTGGGAGACTGTCTTCACGAGAGAGGTGCAGCAGTGAGGGAGAGAGGTGGGTAGAGAAGAGAAAGGTGCAGGTAGACATCTCAGTGTGACTTGGTGACTTACTGAAGGGAGTCAGAAAGGGAATGGAAAAATCTAAAGCCATGTTTTTGTGATTAATTTTTTTGCAGACCATAAACACATTTTATTAAGAGCCTGTCCCCATATAAGTATAAAATTCTAATGAAAAGTTGTGTGAAAATTTTTTTTATAAGTCAATTAATTGTATTGGTTAAAAAAAATGTGTTGTTCAAAGTAGAAAACATGAGAGATATCATCATGATCATTAAATTTAAAGTACCTTAACTGTTACTGGTCAAAGTGTCCCCCAAAAAGCTAATGTTGAAGTCCTAACCCCAGTACCTATGAATGTAATCTTATATGGAAATAGGGTCTTTGCAGATGTAGTCAAGTTAAAATGAGGTCAAGTTGAATTAGGGTGGTCCCTTAATTCAATATGACTTGTGTCTTTATAAGAAGAGGGAAACAGAGAAGCAGAAGAGAGAGACAGTGGTCCTCTCCCTTCAGAGGAAGTGCTGCAGCTACCAGCCAAGGAATACCTGGGGTTCCTAGGAGCTGGGAGAGGCAAGAAAGGATTCTCCCCTGCAGGTTTCAAAGAAAGCATGGACCTGCCCACGCCTCGCCTTCCAGAACTGCAAGACAATATGTTTCTGTGGTCTTAAGCCACCCGGTTTATGGTACTTTGTTACAATAGCCCTAGGAAACTGATGCAATAACTATATGCATACTACAAAGAATTGCTTATTTTACTTGGTTAAAGGAGACTTGACATTAAATAAGCCCAACTGAGAATTCTTTTGTCAAGATTTCTTTATGGCTCACCTTTCCAGAGACATGAAATAGAGTTTCTCAGGGCAGGTGGGAGCTGTGCCTCAGCCATCTTTGTCTTCCCAATGCAAAGCAGAAAGCATGTAAATAATACATGTGCAGTTTGTTTTATGAACCAAACTGAGCTCCCCACTTTTTTTTTAACAAATTTTACATTAAAAAAGTTTTTTCCTCATGTAATACTGTTTTGATCATTAATATACCCTAATCCAAGGGCTACATATAAGTGAAAAACAATTGTGATTAAAAAAATAGAAATATAATAATAGCTAACATTTATGGAACAATAACGAGACGCTAAGTACTGCCAAGTCATTTATACATATCTTTATGTTGAATCTCATCACTATCTTTTTACTCTGAGTTTAAATGCGAGACTCAAAAGAGGTTAGTAATTTTGCTAAAGGTCATAGAGATAATTTATAGAGAGAGGATACCAACCCCTAACTATGACCAAACATGACAAAGCCCAAACCTCAACTAAGACTGAAGCCCTAGATGGCTATTTAAATTTAAATGCAAATTTATTAAAATTAAGCAGAAGTAAACATTCAGTTCTTTAAGTCACATTAACCACATTTCAAGTGCTTAATAGCGACCTGTGGCTTTGTGGCTACCAAAGCAGATATAGAACATTTCTATCATGGCAGAAAGTTCTAATGGAAAGCACTGGTCCAACCCCTTAATAGTCATCACACATTGAAAGCCCACAGTATGGCTGGTTAAGGGAAGAGAAGGAGTAGTGGAAGGGAGAGTATAGAGAAGAAGGAAGGAAAAGATTTAGAGTGAGGAAGGGTAATTCTGCAGAAAAAGGAGCCTGTATCGAGAGGAAGAGTAGGCTCTGAGGACATTTTTAGTCTGTTATGTTGTAGATGTTGGCAGTTAAAATTCCAAAGCCTATTAAATTTATACTTTAAAAAAAAATGAAGAAGCTGCAATTCAAAAGATACTTGTTAAGTGTGAACTGTGTGCCTAGCATTGGGTGAGGAGGCATTGCTAGGTGAACAAAATAGATACAGTTTCCTACCCATCATAAAAATGAGAGCAGCCTTAATCAAATAGTTAGAAAAAAAGCATGACAATTATTTTGAAAGAATTCTATGACAATAAGTAACAGAAGGACCTACTGTGTAGCCTAGATAAGGTTCAAGGAAGTATTCCCACGGAAGTGCCATGATAAACTGAGAAAGGAAGGACAAGGGAGCCAGCTTATGGCAGGTGAGTGTGTTGGCCATATGGTCAGCTGTGAGATGGCCTGATGTCAGAAAGAAGGACTGAAATAAATGTGTGGCTGAAGAGAGGGAAAGGAGCAAAAATGAGGCAGAGAGTCAGGTACAGGAGCCAGAATTTGGGATGGGTGAGGGAGCTTGCGAAAACATTTTGTTGTAAGGATGATGCAAATCCTTCAAGATTTTTCAGCCAAAAAGAGATATATTCCGATTTACAGTTTGAAATGATTTCACTGGTCACTGTGCTAAGAATGGCTTAAAGAGAAGCAAGGCTGGAAGCAGAGGCCACTTGGAAGCGGTTTGGTACTACGATGATGATAATGTGGCTGGAGAGATGGTGATTTAGAATATTTGGAACTAGAATGGTAACCACTTGGTTGTATTTGAAGGATGCCCCTTACGTGTCTAGCTAGTGCAAATGTATAGAGTGGGGTCAGCAACCTATAGACCACAAGCTAAATCCACTCTGTCCCATTTTTGTCAAGACAGTTTTAAGGAAACATAGCCATGTTCGTGCTTTTATATGTTGTTTGTCCATGGCTGCTTTGGTGATATAGTGACAGATTTGAATAGTTGCAGCAAAGACTATGTAGCCCTCAAATCTTAAAATATTTACTATCTGGCTTTTTAAAGAAAACATCTGCTAACTGGGGTAGATAATCATTACCTACATTTACTGAGGGAGTAAGACTCACCAGGCAAGGTGATAAGTAATTCACATGTTACGTACTCGTGTGTTCTAAACATCTGTCCTCATAGGCAAACACGAAGTGTTGATACCATGCTAAGGTCCGGCTGCCTACTGCTTGAAAAAGTTAAAGACCGAGAGACAAGGTTGGTGGAAAGAAAAGTAGGTTTATTCAGAATGCTGGCATTCTGGGAGGACGGCAGACTCGTATCCAAAGGCCATCTCCCCGTTCCTAGAACAGGCAGAAGGTTTTATAGGTACATAAGAACAAAGGAAAGGGGGAGTCAGCCAGGTCCCAGGGTTGACATTGCATCCTGGGCCTGGGAAAGGGCGAGTCAGTCAGGCAGGTCAGAGGGTTGACATTGTGTCCTGGGGCTTGGTCTGTTTTAAGATAATGCTTATCTTCGGACTCAGGCTAGGCCACTGAGCCCTGGGGCCCAGTCTAAACTGCAAGGGAGTTGCAAATTGGAGTCTGGTGACTGGGTGCGGGTGCCTGAGGATTAAGAAATTGCTCTTTTCCGGTGAGGATTCTGTTGACTAAATGGATTAATGGGGTATGTGTAGTCTTGAGAAAGGGAACAAAACAGTTCTTAAGTCAATCAGTGAGGGGAGAAACAGAAAACAGCTGAATATCAGGGTGGAGCTATTGGGTTGTTGGAAAAGTCATGACGTATTTTTACA